ATCGTTAGAAGCCAAGTGAAGAAATTTGCGAATTCTACTATTTTATCATTTAATGATAACAAATTTAGCGATAATTTAGTAATATTTTTCAATTATTTTATTTATTTATTGATGGATTCTGGTTCTTTTTTCGAAGATCGCTCACCATTTCTATTTCGGCTTATTCCGCTGATATGTGAGGCCAAATAAATTGCGCGAGGATGCTATTTGGCTATTTGGCAATCGAAATACGATTGATTTAGGTTCACTCATGCTGATAGCAAAATTTGCAATATTTGCAGCTTTGACCTGAATTCAACAACGCACTAAGCTTCTTTTATTCTACGCTTGGTTATCTCTATTATTCTATTATTATTAAAAATATCGCCTAACGTTACAAAATTTAAATTTATTTAACAATTCAAATCGAGAATTTCTTTGTAAAAAATTGAAATTTTATAAAAAAAAAAAAAATACGATGAATGGCAATGAAAAAAATATAGCAAAAGTGATTCTTCTTGGTAATTTTGCATATTCAAATTTAAAAAAATTTTATTTGAATTCAAATTTTAATTTAATATTTAAATTTAATAATTTAAATTTTTTTAAAAGTTTACCTTTCTTTATTATTTAAAAATTATCATACAATATTTATATAATTTTTTTCGTCTTTTTTATTATTTATTTCCTTGTTTTACTGCAACAAAAAAAAATTTTTTTTATTTTTAATGAAATAAATATTTTAAAAAGTCGTTTTTAGGTGATAAAAGAGTTGGAAAAACTACAATTGCAAAAATATTTACTGGTAAATATAACTTTACAACAAAAGACTATGAAATGGTTTCAATTACATAAATTAAACTAAAAAAATTTGAAAAAAAAATAGCGAAAAATTATTTAAAATGAAAATATTTCAAAGTACATTTTGGTATTTGATGTTGATTATTGTTGATTTTTTTTTCATTGAAAATGACAATTCAATTAAAATTTAAAATTTGATTTTAAATATTTTATTTGAAAAAAAAATTATTAAATATTTTTTTAACTTTTAAATAAAAATAAAAAATAAAAACAAAGTTTTTTTTGCTTTTTATTTATAAAAATAAAATTTTTTTATAGACACAAGGCATCGATTTGTTTGAAAAAACAATATTAATCGATGGTACTTCGGTGAATTTATTAGTGATCGATACAAGCGGTCATAATTTATATGATTGGCTTATTAAAGAAATATATGATGATAAATTACATGTGATTTTATGCTTCGATATGACAAATAAAGAAAGTTTTGATCGAATCGAGAAAATTATTAAGGAATTTTCAATTAAAAAAGGTGGAAATTTATTATTTTTATTATTGATATAATTTTTTTTAAAATAAAAATTAGAAAAAAAGAAAAAAACTTGGCTTTTTCAAATTTTTGGACGAATCTTAGCAATTGATCGACTTTAGCCTAGCAAAATTGCATATTAATTGAAAATTTTAATATTTCCTTTGAATTATGAAACGATTTTAATTTACCAAAAATTTTAATATTTTTTTTTTTTTTTAACGATCTGATCATAGATCATAATTTGTAATTGTAATCATAATTTTTCTTTTTTTTTTTTTTAAACTAGGATATAGAATTTATTACAATAAAAAAAAAAATTTTCATTACCTATACGTATACGATTATTATATAACTTTGCTGATGTTTATAAAAAATTTTACCAATGATTGCGCCAACAACTGTTGGTAATTCGAAACCCGCATTTGGTATCATAAGACAGCTGTGGCTTAGCGTAATTCGAAATTTTTCTTGGGAATATTTTCAGGAAATTGGTTCTAAGATTTTAGAGTAATAATAATTAATATATTTCAATAAATACTAAAATGAGGGATTTACCATTTTGGAAAAAAAGAAAGAAATATCATAAAATATTACAAATATTATAAAATTCTTTTCGGTAGCTCAAAATGTATATTATATATCAATAAATTTTTAGTATTTTTAATAATTTTATTTGTAAAATTATTGAATATTATAAAATTCGATAGCTTAAAATATATATTTTATATAATATTTATATATCGTTTTTTATTTGTCAATAAATTTTTATTAATTTTTTTAATAAAATTCTTAAAATATTGAAGTGGATTTCTTACATAATTTTTGTTATACAAAAAAGTTAGGACGTGAGTTATTGCTCAATTCGAAACGCGAATGCTGAGGTTCTATTCACTGCAAGAGCAAACCTATCGAAAGATCCAGATAAAGCTGACGATTCGCCTGTACTTCTATTGCCAAATGGCTTCTGTGGCATATTTGTTTAGAGTGACAAGCGAAGCGAGCCTAACAAGTTAAGGCTCATAAAAAAGCAAATTATACAAAAATGCAACATAAAAATTATTTCTGCAATTTTCAATTATTCACTGTTTTCTTTCTTTTAGATACTTATAATTATTGCAAAATATAGGCTATTGAGAATAGGCGATTTCTATTTGCAAATGACTAGATGGTTCTATTTTGGTTCCATTCCAGTAATCAGCGGCCTAAGCAAAATGAGAAATGCTCTTTAATGCGCTTGTTAGAATAGCTTAGCGGCCATTGTTGCTCTTAGCGGCCTTATGTTTTTAGAACTCATATGCTGATTTTCTATTCCCCGTAGGATTAAACCTATCTTTCGAAAATTCGGGTGATATCCATTCATTCTTCTGTCGACTCTTAAGCGGCTTTTCTTGGCAGAAATTTTGTCTATAGCGGAGCAAATCCATTCAGAAATAGTGCGGACTTTTAGAAAAATCAAAAATCTATTAATGCTTTTTAATCCCTCTCAAATTCTAAAAAAAATATTTAAAACTTTTGTTTATAATAATTTTTAAAAACAAAATAATTGAATTAAAACCAGATTTATGCAAAAATTTATCGTTCAACAACTAAATTTAATTCCTTTTTATTTTTTTAAATTAGGAAAATAATTTTTGATTTGAATTTTAATAAATTAGCTTCAATTAGCGACTAATTTGATTCGATTTCTCGAATTAATATAAAATTATAACTAAAAAAATTGATATATAAATCAATATAAAATTAATATAAAAATCTGCCAATTAAAAGAAGAAAAATAAAAAAACCTATAGGAAAATTATGAAAAGAGATAAATTTAAGGCGAATATCTTAATTAATTGACTAATAAATTTAATCGTTAAAAAAATTTGCAATTCTGCAAATTCTTTTATAATTTTTACAATATTTTTGCAAATTCTTAAAAAATCTTTTAATAAAAACTACTAAATTATTTTATATAAATAATTTTCAGGTCTTCTATTAGGCTGTAAATCTGATCAAATAAATCGACAAATGATTCCACAAAATTTGATCGAAACATTTGCCGAAAGAAATAATTTAATTTTTAATAAAACTTCAACGGTTTTTTGAAAATTTTTCTACTTCCATTACAAATAAAATTAATTTTTAAGATATGAGAAACTAAAAATTATTAATATTAATACTATAAATATTAATATTTATTAAAATTTCTTTTTATAATTTTTCATCATCCATAAATTTAAATTAAATAATTACTTTAAGTTAAAAAAATAAATAGATGGTTCGCATTAACCATTTTCTGGTTAGACTCATTTCATTGACTATTAATATGCTATAATCTTGCCAGGGCGAAACACTTAGAAATAGGAAATATAAGTGGAAGCGGAAGTATTATCAGGAATTTTTAATGACAGGTTCAGCGCTATTAAGGGTATAAGCTGAAAGAAGTGGGTTGCTTGAAATGATATTTTAGACAACAACCAATGGTTATCAGCAAGAGCTCATGCAAGCGGCTTATCTTAATATTCAGCTATACTCATGGTTCCTATAGTGAAAAAAAATGCATTATCAAATATTGAATATTTTCTTTATCATAAGTTTTCCACAAGGTAACAAAAATTTAAGGCGATATTTTCTAATAGAACTTGAGGCATATTTGAAAATAACCTACTGAAAACGTACTGATGGATTATTTCCAGGAACCGTTCGATGATCTTAAAATGCGGCCAATAATAACATAAATATTTAATCACTAGAAAAGCGGGCTAATTGTCATCATAAAAAATTTAATAATAACAATAATACTAATAATAAATGATACAAAATAGAAATAGAAATAAAAAGGGAAACAATATTAGGATTTTTAGATGATAATTTTTATGTATTTCCTTTATAATATTTTAAATGAAAAATATATAGATTCTTTAAAATTAAAATGAAATTTAAAATTTATTTTTTGAATTTTTTGCAGAAAATGACTACAATTGATATGGAGGAAATATTTCGAATCGCTATCAAACTTTAAAAATATTCGTAATTGTAAAAAGCCGATTTGCCCATTTTATCATTAATCATCTCATATTTGCGAATGAAAATGATCAAAGATTTTTTGGTCGAATAAGATTTTTCATTGTTTTATTCTCATTGGGATTTTAAATAGATGGATTTATGCATTAGATTTGCCAAAATTATATCTACTGTAAGCATTGTTTAGCTAAGTGATTGTATTTCTTATAAGTTTGTTTCAACGACTAAATTCAATTAATATTTTTTAAAAGATATATTTTAAGAATTAAAAAAAATATTGAGAGCATTACATGAAAAGCTTTCATGACAAATATTATAAAAATACAACTTATAATCTATAAATTGAAAAAAATTTCAAACAATTAAAAAAAAATAGCGAATAGCGAAAAATAGCGAAACTTAAATGGAAAAAAAATTTTAAAAATATCACCCGTTATCGCAAAGAATTGAGGTTTATTTAATAAAATTAATAGAAAATACGATAATATTTAAATAATTTGCAATATTATTATTATTAACAATTTTAAATAAATTTTTTATTTTTATATTCAATAATTATCGTGAAAAGTGATTTTTTTAAAAGTGAAGAATATCAATATTTGAGAAAAAATTTTCATTTTGGTGCAAAAAAAGTGGTCCAAAGCACCATTTGAGCAAATTAAGACCAGTAAAAAGTCGAATTTTATCGTTTTTTTGATGATCTCCTAAAATATAAAAATTATAAATAAATTATTTCAATTTGAATAAATTGAATAATAAAAATTTTTTTATGATCTATTGAGAAATAATAGAAAATTTTGAATTTTGAACTGAACCTTGCTTCAAGTATATATCGATGCATTACACCAAAAATATCATCTAAGCCTTCACCAGTAATAGCACAACATGGCAATATATGGCTTAATATTTTACTAGTAAATTCTGATATTATAAGTTGTTGAATATCATTACGCGAATGAGCATCAGGTAAATCTTGTTTATTCGCTAATAAAATTATAGGCACATTTCGTGGAAAATCAGGCATTTGTACCAAATTCGCAAATTCGATACGTGCTTCTTCAAATCTAATAAATATTTCTTTAATATGGAATTATTATATTTTCCTTAATATTTTTTCAAAAAAAACACCTTCGAAAAGATGAAAACTAAATGATATAATACGGCCTAATAAGCCAATAAGGAAGCATTTTTTTCCAATATGTTTATAACCGAGAAAATCCGAGGAAAAAAATAAATTTCTTAGAAAATATTTGTTAATATGGAAAATGCATTTAAAATGATATTCCGATAGAAAAATATTTCATTGTTGTAAAAAAATAATTTCTGGTTTGAAGTCATAATTTCTATAAATTTATTTATTTTCCTTCCTGTTTTCTCGAAAAATTCACACTTTCATGTATACGTAAAGGAAAACTGATAGAGTTTTTCAATATGTAATCAGTAATTTTAAAAGAGTTGTAGATAGCCAAATGAGCATTTTTAACCTTTCATGATCACTAGAATCCACTACGAAGATAACAGCATCTGCTTGTCGTATATATGTCCTCCATAGTGGTCGTAATTTTTCTTGTCCACCTATATCCCAGATTGTAAATGTCAGCCCTTTTGCTGAACCAGATGATGGTCGAAACTGCAATTCATTAATCATTTATTCATTAATTATAATAAATTATTTATTTAAATACTGAATCTTTTTATAAAAATTTAGAATTTCATGTATTTCCAACAATTTATGAACATAAAATAAATATGGATTATGAGAGAAAAAAATCTCCACAAAACTTTAAAATACTAAAATTAATAAAAATGAAAATTTATTGCAATAGCGATAGGACATTTTTAGTGAATAATTGCGAATTTATAAAAAATAAAAATAAAAAAGAAAAAAAAATAAAATTTGTGGTAAATTTGAAAAAGAAAATATTGAATGAAATAATTTCCAAAAATATTGAAAACTGATATATTTGTTAATTTTCTATTTTACGAATGAATTTTAGCGAGAAAACCTTTTCGTATTTCTACTACTATTAAAATATTTCCTCGATAATTTTCTTTTTCTAATAAGCATTCATTTTCTTTTTTGCGCTCAATCCACTATCTTATCGGATCAAATAAATTTTATATCATTTGATAAATGATAAGAGAGGCGCTAGCCTCATTTTGAAAGTTTGAAAGTTAAGACAAATTTTGTAAGCTAAGTTTATCCTTGCGCGGAGGAGAACCCCAATGACGGTGGTTAGAAATGAGAATAACAACGCACTGAGCCATTCCATCATTATTATTATAATAACAATTTAAGTGCAGAAAAAAAAAAAACTGGAATGATAGAGCAAATTTCGTGAACAACAAAATGAATGAATGACCCTGAAGAGGGAAATCACTTTCCATAAACCTTAATAAAATCGAAAAAAAGGAAAGGGTAAATTATTTTTTTTTAAATGAAAAAAGGATTAGTACAAAATCATTCATAAATATAATAAAAGAAAAAAAAAATGGATAAAATTAATCAAATCCATTGATAACACTATATTTCAAAAAATTATAAAATTTGCACCATATAAAAATAGAAAAAAATTAATAAAAAAATAAAAGAAATAAAATAAAATAAAATAAAAGAAATAAAAATAAGAAAAATTTTATCAGTGAAGTTTTATCGCTTTATCACCAACATCAACAATAAAAAAAAGAAATAAAATATTTGTATTAAAAACGATGAATAAGCGATTGTAACAAAAAATTCTAATATGTTCGAAAAAAACATCTGTATGAGAAAAAAAGCGTGAAATGTGAATTATATAGATGAACTGATAACATTCAAATTCAAATTCAGTGAATCAGTGATTTGAATGAAAATAATCGAAAATTGAAAATATTAAAAAACCATTACAAAAAAACTAGTGATAATCACTGCATTAATAAAATTTATTAACACAATATTTCACATTTTTTTATCCCAGCGATGGTACTGTGTGTTTTCAATTTAGGTTCAATTTCAAGCAAAGCAGGTTTCATTGGCGAAATTAAAGGAACAAGACCATTATAAAAAATTCGGATTTTATTGAATTATTCACCTGTATTTCTAGTGCTTTGTCAATTTCTGGAAAAAAATTTCTAGCACCAATATTCACCAAGACTAATCTAATTAAAAATGGTGAGTGCTTATCACAAATTAATGGTTTTATGTGAAAGAAATTACGATGCTCCATGACATTATTGTTTCGACTAAGATTAGTTATTAGGTGAATTCCTGTTTTTTGACTGCAAACCAAAAGTAAACTTTTTATTTTCTAAGTAAAATCCGAGTTATGACCACTACATTAAATCCGAGTTATGACCACTACATTCATTTGTACCGATGTATTAACCGAATTCGCTGGCAAAGAGATGTCGTCTTAAAAGCCAGTGATACAAGTCAAACCAAAAATGCAAAACGACGATTTACTAGAGATAGTTGAATTTGTAATGACAGTTCAAAATTCTGGACTATAATTTTTATTATCATTGTGGGTTGTTAATTATTCCTGGTGGTGCTGGTCACCTGTGCGACAAGCCAGAGGAGCGACTAAAATTATCATTGTGGTACAAACTGTGATTAATGACGATTTTCTAGTTAGTTAGCAAAAAAAGTTTAAATATGTTTGCTTCAAGCGATCCATTTTAGAAATATTTAATTGATTTGCAAAATTTGTAAAAAAGTGAATTTTCAAAAGATCTTTCCATTTCTCACTCACTCCAAGCCAAGCCAAATTCCAAATTCGTTAAGGATAACCGACGAGTCCATAAATTTTATCAACAAATGCTAATCGAATCGAATAAGATTTCAGATATTCACTCGAAAACGATGGGCAAAAAATATTTTCTTTGATTATATTCGTGATGTGAACTTCATAAACTAATTCTTTCTAGAATAATATATAATTCGTCGATCACAGAATATGTTTGCTACTGGTGCGGGTAACTTGATGGTAAGATTATCACCACAAATCGAGAATGCCTAGGGTTAAATTCTGACCACTACTTCGAGGCGCGATAATTTCACCATATCAACGAAAGCAAAATGAGGCAGAACAGCTAAATAAGTGGTTGTTTCGTTTGGTTCGCCCATGCTGAGATCCTACATTCAGCAGAAGTAAACTTTTTCTTTAGAAAGCAGGGCTGATGATACCGGCGACTCACCTATAGTGATTCTCTAATAAAGTTTCTAGTCTGATTGGCAAATGGGGCGAGTCTAACCAGCAATGGTGAGCATTTTTAGAAAAAAAAAACCTTGCTATTCGACGGTTGAGCCACAATTTAACCCACATCTATATAACCTAACTGTGTTTCTATAACTAAATAATTATCTGGTAAAAAAATTTCTAATCAATTTCTGGCGTGTTAATCAGTTAAGTAAAATGGTGAGAATTAATTGTTTAATTATATATTATTTCGAATTATTATTTTTATAATTAAAACTTCGCGTTATCAACTGTTCAACTGTTATCAGATATGAAAAGTAAATTTCTGGAAAATATAACAAACCTTTTCACAATTAAATCCAATCGTTGGTGCTTGTTGTACGAAACAATTAATTTTTAGGCGATAAATAATTGTTGATTTACCAGCATTGTCAAGTCCAAGCATTGCAATTTGATAACTATCAAAAAGTGACAGTTTCTGACCCATTATTTGTTATAAATAATAGTACAACGACAACTAAACAAATAAATAATAATATTAATATTAATAATAATATTAATAATGATAATAATAATAATAATAGTAATAACAATTAAAGAATTGCAAATAGCTGACCTCTGACCCTAGCAAAACATATATAATTATAAACTAACTAAATAAGCTAGGAAAATTGATTGAAAGTAAAATCGAAATAAAATTTTTTTTTTTTGATTTTTTTTGCGAAAAAAAAACTATTAATTCAAATAAATATTCAGATATTTATAAAATTTATTTTCTAAACTTATTTCTCTCATATTTTCTTCATTAATAAATTTTCTCTAAACATTGTTAAACATTCAAATTTCTACAAATTTTAATTTTCTATAAATATTTTTTTATTTCTCTTTTTTCTCTAAATGAAAATGAATTTTCTAAAAAAAATTTTTTTCTATAAATTTAAATTTATTGTTATTTTAGGATTGAATTGCGCTTGCGTTGGTTGCATTGGTTACGTAAAATATTTGGTTGGTTGGTTAGTTGGTGGATTAATTGATTGATTGGTTGGTTGGTTGGTTAGCTGCGTCACCAAATAGTTTTTTAAAAATATCTCATAACAATACATTTATCTATGCAAATTCTATCTCATCACAATTCATTTATTTCTTCGTTATTTTAGTTTTCTATCTACTTTTTTTTACTATAAAAATTTAAAATTTTATAAAATTTTAAATTTTCTAAAAATTATTTAAAAAATTTTTCTTATCGGATATTGTAATGGACAATGACTCGATTAAGGTTGTATGAGGCAAAAATTACAACATAATTCGGGTAATTCGGGTATAATAATTCGGGTATCATTGAATGACTTATTTTTTTGCTTCTAGACAAGTGACTCGTTCATATAATATTTCTAACCGAACTACTAACCACCTGCTGAGCTAATCAAATGTGAGCGCTAATAAAAAAATTGCAAAAAAATCGAATAAATTAATTAAATTATCAAAAATGGGTTTAAAAATTCGTAAATTTAGCTGGTAATTGATAACTGACTGATAAGGCATGGAATTTTTAATCTAAAAAAGTTACTGTGACAAGGCATTGCTTATATAAAAGTTATATTATTAAGTATCTAAAATGATAATAGTACTAGTCGTGCTGATTGTTCGTAATTAATTAAGGATCCAATCAATTCGTGTAAACTTATGTGATTGATGATTTAATTTTGGTTTTCTCTATCTAAAAATTAATTGATGCTAATGCCATAAAGCTTAATATTAGAAATATTACTAAATACTAAATATTGTCTAAAAATATTTAAACCATTTTTAACACCACATTTGATAGAACAATTAGGAATCAACAAAATTATGAGAAATTTTTTTTTGAGAGTCCTCACCATCATAGGTTAAACTCGCTCCACTGGCTTGTCATATTGAGCAATAAGGGAGTCCTTTCGCGCTCCCTTATAAATATAAGTGAAGCGCCAGCATCACCCGAATTTTTGTACAGGTTTATTCCTGCGTGGAATCGAACCTCAGCATCGGCGCTCCCAATCGAGCAACAACCCACTGAGTCATTCGATCCCCAATCAGCGAAATTATCAAACTATGATTTCGGATGGTGCTGAGGATTTATTTGATAACACTCTTACTCACAAGTGATTCATAGCTAATCAGTGGCAAAAGTGAGGATGGTAAACCAAAATTTTTTACTCTACCTGCATTTGGTTCCTCTAAGCTGAATTGATTCCTCTTTTACTTTTTGTATTAAACTAAAAAAAATAATTTATGCATCATTATCATGAAAACTGTATCAGTAATCTATTCTAGAACTTTAAATATATTCAATATTTATAAATACGAACGATTTGAAAATATGCAAAGAAAGAATTAAAATACAACTGAAATAGCGACTTGAAGTGAAAAAAAAAAAAAAAATTACAAAATAAATAAATTATAAAATACAATAAATTATTTTAAATGATACCTG